TGCCTGAAGAAGACATCCAAGCTGTCTCCAAAACGTTCACTTAAAATGTACTCAAGTGTTTCTCAACCTTCTTTCAGTTTAAAAGTATGAAACATTTAAGGTACCCCAGTCCAAAATGGGGTCCCATTTCACATCGTAATCCCCTCACCTACACATCAGAAGTTCCCCCATCATATTAGAGTCCCCTCCTCCTCATCAAAAGTCCCCCTCTTTTCACACCAGAGTTCCTCCTTTCACATCAGGAGCCCCCCTTCACATTACAGGAAGTATATGGAAACCACTCCAAAGTGAGTGAAGCCTCCTCTTTGGCAATGTCCACATTGGGGAATCTTTCCCTCTATTCCTGTTCTGGTGACAATGACAACTGGTTTTGATTACACTCTGTACTCCATCTCCATCTCTGTACTCCATCTCCATCTCTGTACTCCATCCACGACAATAAAATAACAAATTGTAAGATTGTAGATTTTTTCACCAGTGCCATGATGACCACCAAGATGGCAGTGGAGGGTGTTATTGACCTCTATTGTTCTAAAGCCACCCATCTCATAGTTGTTGGTTGTTTTTTTTAGTGTTCCAGTTGATACAAAGCTAGTGATATTTCTTTTACCTGTATGCACTCCAGTAACAAGACATGTGTGTGGGCTGATCAGCCCATGCTACACAGAGAACACTTACAGCAGTACACAAGGAACAAGTGTATCTGTAATCACATTGAAAAACAATCATAGAAAAGGTTCTTGTGGGAACAGAAATCAGGAATTATTATACTTGTAAAAACTCCACGCACCTCATCTAAAAATAAACGTCCAGCTTGACAGGGGGGAACATACAATTCACTGGAGAGGGCACTTGCAGCAAGAAAAAGAAATGCAAAAAATGTATTTTGTGTTAAAGAAAACACAAGACAAATCACGTGGGCTTACACTTCTAAGCTCTTCCTCTAACTGAGTCACTAGCCTGAAACAAGCATTCATTTTAAGGGTGAACGCTCAACTTGGTTCCTAGGGCCAGACTGTACAATAGCCCTGGAATTTTGTCCTGGTTAAGAACAAAGCCCAACGTTAGTCTTGCCACCCGTAGTCTCCTGCAGCTGCTGTTGATCAATAAAGCTTGGGAGAAAGGCTGGGGCTAGAGCTAATAGAAGGTTTGTCATTTCACTGTGAGTCCTAGAGAATGCTGCATTCGGGGCAAAGTTGAGGTTACTGGTGGCTGTTAGATGTGTTCCATGAACTGATGGCCAATCATGGCCAGGAATCCAATATCTACAGGTGATTGTTAGGGGTTTTGCAGCCATTCTGGCCCAGGGTGAAGACTTCTTTCTTTTGTGGAGTTAACTACATGTGGGAAGGGTTGTCACCTTTTCTTCAAGTGAAGCCAGAACGCTCTAGCGTCGCGTGCGGCAGTTTTTCTTTTTATTAGAGGAGAGGCAGCCAGGAGAAAGAGCAAGAAGGATCACCAGGTGAGGGAGTAAGGAGACCCTCTATAGAGAACTACAAATCCCAGGAATACATTATACAGCAATACAAAATATTATGAAGCTACATACTCAGTGTCATTCCGGGGTGGCACCCTGATGTCTCCATGGTCTCAGGTGGCCTGTGCAAGCTCTCATCTGGGTTGTGCGGGTTCTCAGGTGGGCTGTGCGGGCTATCACGTGGGCTGTGTGGGCTCTCAGGTGGACTGTGCTGGCTCTTAGATGGCCTGTGCGGGCTCATAGATGGGCTGTGAGGGCTCTTAGTTGGGCTATGCAGGCTCTCAGGTGGGCTGTGCGGTTTCTCAGGTGAACTCTGTGGGGTCTCAGGTGGACTGTGCGGACTCTCAGGTGGGCTATGCAGACTCTCAAGTGGTCTATGCTGGCTCTCAGGTGGGCTATGCGGACTCTCAGGTGGGCTACACGGGCTCTCAGGTGGGCTACACGGGCTCTCAGGTGGGCTACACAGGCTCTCAAGTGGGCTATGATGGCTTTCAGGAGTGCTGTGCGGGTTGTGCGTTGTCTCACCAGGGGTCCGGAGGCAGGCAGCGTGGTGTCAGAAAGGCAGAGGAGGAGATGTGAGGGACGGCCTGCACCTGTTTACAGGTTCCCGCGGCTCACAGGAAGATGTAGCTTCAAGCAGATGCAGCTGTCTGAGGTCCCGCGCTTGCTTTGTGCGGTATCGGCACTTAGTGTCTTGTATTCTGGTGTCAGCTGTCTTGAAACCTGGACACAAGACTCAAAAAACCGGAGTGTACAGATGAATCCCGGACAGGTGGCAACCCTAGGTGTGAGCCACTTAGCTGCACTGAAGCAGATGAGCCTCATTATTGGAAGCTCTTTTGGCAGGAGAGTAAAAACTCTTTTGTTCAGTAACTGTGAGCTCTGTTGTCAAGTGGAGCCGTTTTCCCTGTTCTCCGCTGCCTCTCAACTTTTCTGATTCTGTATGTCTGCTGCTTCTGCAAAGTTGTATCTTCTGCAACATCTAAGGATTAGGAACTGTACTATCTTGTAGCCTCTCAGCTTCTGTGCATAGACTTAGAGGGTTATTCGCTGCCGAAGCTGCCGAAGGCAGCCGAGTGAATAACCCAGCCAAAGTGAAGTGAGCCGAACTACATTCGGCTATTCACTCCGGCTTAGTACAGCTGATTTCAGCCGTACATCGGCTGAAATCAACGTACAACGGTTGCCCTCGGTCAGCCGAACATGCTCTGCTGGGAGTTCGGCAGGCCGTTCTCCCCGCTTAGGCTGTCACTTCGGCTCAGTCGAGGCAAAGCATATGCCTTTGGGTTGGCTCGGCCACCTATAGGGATGCTGTATGGGCTATTGTGAATAGCCCATACAGCATCCCTATAGTTCAACTGAACTGAAGGGCTCCAGCGGCCGAAGAAAGCCAAAGGATCAACTGAAGCTACGACTGGATGTTTTGGCTCTTTAGTGCATAACCCCCTTAGACTAAACACCTGTCATGGAGAAGATGTGCCAACTGTCTGAAAATGTTTGTATTTCTTTGGTAAAATCTTACCTTGGCGTCCAAGATCATCTGGACAGGACAGGGGTACATAGGAACCCACGGGTTGTGACCATGAGACTTCTGCAACCTTTGTGCTGAGAATTTTACCATACAGTTCCAATGAAAGTCGTCTCTTGGGCTGTGTAGGATACATAGATCAGATATCTTTTATAAAAATGTTCATTGTTTTTCCATGTGTTTTCTTTGGCCCATCAATACTGAGCTTGCAGCGATGCCATGACACAAACATGAGCCTCTACTAGGTGGCACATTTTCATCACATAAACCAGTTGAATCATGTAATAAATAAGCCAGGTCACTTTTCTTACACCCGCCAGCCCTGAAACACAATGGAAAATAACAGAAAAAAATGGATTAATTAATATTTGGTCAGCAGGTCCTGATCGCTGGCGTGATGTCACATAGAACTAGGATGATGTAATGAGACAATTAGGCACCAGTTTAAAAAATATCTGCAGAGTTATAATTTATGGTGTTAAAAAGTCTCCATATTTTGTATTTCTGAGATATGAAGATTACATCACACACACAAGCTGCTTCAATTATTTATGACTAAACAAAAGTTGTTTATCAGCTGAAAACATATTTATGATCTTCATGATTCTTTGATTATAGAACATGGTGCAATGAGGGCATTTTTAAAAAAATGGGTTGACAAATGGTAGCTTTTGAACGGCAACTCCACCTTTATACACTTTTAAAACTTGGCCAAGGCAAGAAAATAATCAACCATTTAGATTGTCCAAATGTTGCCATGTCCTGCTGCATCTATATGAACATCCCGTAGGTAGATAAAGAATGGTGTCCTACATAGTGCCGGATTTACTCTCTTTGCTGCCCCAGGGCCAGGTTCCTCGATGCGCCCTCCTACCCGTCACACCCCCTCCGCAGGAAGATGGGAAAACCTGCAGGCTGCATACAAGGGATCTCGGCGACATCGACAAAGTCACTCGTATAAAACAAGCAGCTTCCCCGCTGTACATTTAGCTCTGCTTGCCTAAAGCAGGGCTAAATGTGGAAAACAACTACCCGCCGGCGCCCAGAACTGCATGTCCCAGGCATCAGGAGATAGGAATTCCACACCTCTGCTACCCCTCTACTACCTGCTGCCCCGAGGCCAGGCCTTGGTTGGCCTTGTAGGAAATCTGGTCCTGGTCCAAAATGACAGCGGTAAATATTTTGGTGGAATAGACTTGTTATTTAGCTACTCTAGGCTATATTAAATGTGACTAGCCCTGGTCCAACAAAAACAAGTCTTTCTCCTGGTCTCAGCCATATCCAATGGTGCCCATACACCATAAGAATTAGTGGCACCAATTTTCCAGGTCTGGTCACATCTGTGAGGCATGTATAATGATCCTCTGAAGTTTCACATACACACGAATTTCAGGTTGCCCAGAGCTACTTGGGCTCAGGTATAGACGGCCAGCTCTTTAATTGGTTTGGGTGAATCTGAACTGAATTCTGACTGAATTATGTTTGCTAGGATACTCGCAAAGAGTGCTGCACCTCTGGAGATGGCAGGGAGTACAGTATTTATTTCCATATGTCTTTGAAGGCTTTCATTTATCCAGGTCATGACATATCTAGTAGTAGTTTGTCACATTCAACTGGACTTGTTCTGTAATGTTGAAGACCTATCTTAGCTTCTCCAATCTACTTCTTCGGTTCTGATGAGTGCCAGGAAAAAAACAGCATTTATATCCAGACAGGTAGCACAGACACCTTAATTCAACCACCATCAGCATCTGCCCATCCATGGTGATTGGGTAATGTGTCTGTGCTACCTGTGTGGATATAAATACTAGGGTATTTTCCTGACACTCATCAGGACTAAAGAAGTGGTTTGGAGAAGCTAAGATAGGTCTTCAACATTACAGAGCAAGTCCAGTAGAATGTGACCAGCTACTACTAGCTATTTCTTACTACAGCACGTTGACTGATCATATGCTTACTATGTAAAAGTGGCTTCTATTGTTTTTTCCTCTGCAGGTTCCCAAGAACTGTGAGTCACATCTGCTAACCAATGGCCTGTCAGAGACACTTGCTTTTCCTGCTCCTGGTTCTGTTTGCAGTCAGTACACAGCTGTCACATGGCCAGCACTGGTCGCACGGGTGGTACCCAGGAGGCAAGAGAGAGTTGGACGTGCCTGCTTCTCCAGAGGTATTTTAGTGATGCATTGTATTCTAGCTGTAAGGGTACATTTTATTTATTCTTCCTTTCTCCCTGCACCAATTGTCTTCTGCTGTCCCATCTTCTACCCTGTCCACTGGCTAGCCTTATTGCAACACAACCAGATACCATAGCCAAAGAAGGTATGCTGAGAAGGGAAAAAGACTGAAAGAGTTGGTTTGCCTAGAAAGAACGATCAGAAGAGTTAAGCAAGGTGACTACATAATGTCTGTTAGCTGTTTGGTTTCAGGTGTATGGATCCAAAAGTAGGTAAACTGTTGTCACACTGTAGACTATTTCACCAAACAAATTGCACAAACTGTGAAAGGACAATGAGGACCCATCTGATTGACTTGGCATGCTGGGCTTCAATCTAGATTATTTTAATAGACACAAGAAAGTGTTTCTGATAGTCAGGGATTTAATGTATGCGTAGCTGTATGCAGCCCAACCATTGCCTTTTGGCTCTCCAGAAATCTTTCCTACAGATATACAATGATCATTACTCTATGCAGCAGCAGACACCCCACAGTACAAGGTGGGCACCTCCTTACTGGCCACTGAGGCTCTCGCATTGCATTGTAGGATGCCAGAGAATGTGCCAAAGATTTGCATGGGAGCTTAAGTTGAGAATTGTGTGTAAAGTGGGCTCTTTGGATGTACTAAAAAAGGTTTCTGACTACCAAAGGTATGGACAAGCATTTGTGGATCATGCTAGTTCTGTATCTGTCTACCGGTAGCAGAATCTGAGGAGCCAGTCTGTGCAAGACAGAAGGAAAGACAGGAGACCAGCTTTAATAAATGGTATAGGTGACACAACGAGGCTGCTTGTGCTTTTGTTTGTATTTTAGTAAGTTGCATAATCTGTCTTTGACCCCCACTGTGGATATTTTACCTTTTTTGCTGCCTCTGCGATGGCCATAGAAGAAATGAATGGTGCAGTTGTCACTGAGACAAGAAGGCATGTGCATCAATTGCCTATTCTACTAAGATATTACCCATCACTTGGGCAACTGTTCTCTACAGCAGGGGAAGGGATGGCAGTAAAGATCTGTCAGAGGCTCTAATCCCTTCCTGTTCTATCCAAAACTAAAACAAAGTTTTGGGTGCAGCTTGGGCATTAACCACTTTAAGATCACAATACATACAGTATATAAACGGCACGGTCAGGGCCTGATTTACTCTCTCTGCTGCCCCAAGGCCAGGTTCCTCTATGTGTTTTATTCTGAAGGGCCTCTGCATTCAGAAAGTATATAACTCTTTCAAGCAGTTTTCTAGCCCAAAATGTGTGTTCAAAAAAATTTAAAAGTTCTCCCGATGTGAAGTAGTTAAAGAAGACCTGTCAGGAAGCCTGCTCTCTGTCCCAGCCAAGGCTCCTATCCGCAGCTGGATGATACCATTGTTCAATCCCAGTCATAGCGCAACCCTGTGTTCAGGAACTAGTGCTGCTTTTTAGAGTTCAGTCATGGCAGAATTCAAGGCTGATTGAGACAGGTCACAGCTCTCTTTGCCAGGTTCCCTTTAACATCCTGATACAGCGCAGCTCAGCCAAGCAGATGCAAGCACACGGGAGAACAGAGAGTAGGATGCGTCTTGTCTCAGCGTTGGGACTGCAGTGGAATTTTGTCTTGACGCTGGGATTGCGGCGGAACGTCTCCTGTGACGCCAGATGTTCCACAGATTATTTGGCCATTGCAGCTAGTCTCACCTCAGCTACAGGATCTGATCAGTAAATAACATGTGTGGGAAAGAAGATGATTTTCATCTCTCAGAAAGGACAGAAATTATCATCTCAGGAGAGCGCGTACTGAGCAAAGAGAGCGCAGGAGTTTTACCAAATTAAAAATTGTGCAGACAGTACGTCAAAGCTGCGTGTCTGGTTAGATTTCTTTGCCAGACATAGGTATATAACGTTATTAAATTGGGGCTAGAGCAGCCTTCCTCAGCCGTTTCACCCAAAGGAACCCTTGACATAATTTTCATATATCAAGATCCCTTGCTAAAAATATTGTATAGCTCATGATACTTTAGCATGATCAGTCAATTGTAGATATAACAATAAATTAAAAAAAAAGAAAATGTTGAGTATTTAGTTAAGTGAAACCCAGAGTAGACCATTTTTTAACACCCCCCCTTACCGATCTATACAATAAAATGCCCCCCAAAAAAAGAAACGCACTGCAAATTGTATTGCCCTTTACATGGTTTGTCAGTGGGAGAAGTGCCCCTTAGATGAGTAGTTACTGGAAGATGGATCCTCTTATACAGATGGTGGGTAAAGGTTTCTCTTTGTCCAGTGGTGTTGTCCAGTAAGTCTCCTTGAGTCCAGTGGTGGCGGTTGTAAGTCTCTCTGGGTCTAGTGGTAGTTATAAGTCTCTCTTTGTCCAGTGGTGGTGGTTTTAGGTTTCTCTCTGCCCAGTGATGGTGGCTGTAACTATTTCTGGTACAGTGGCAGTGGTTGTAATTCTTTCTCTGTCAAGTGTTGCTGTGTCCAGCAGTGGTGGTTGTAAGTCTCTTTTTGTCCAGTGGTGGTGATTCTCTAAGTCTTTCTGTATCCATTGGTGGTAGGTGTTAATCTCCCTTTGTCCAGTGTTGGTGGCTGTGGGTCCCTCTGTGCCCAGTGTGTTTAAAACTGCTGATTAGCAGCGCAGATTAGAAAAGTACCACTATGTTTACTAGCTTGGAGAATGGAAAGCTTATCTTTAAAATAACATGACACCATTATAGTTACTAGTGGCTTTCCGTGGGGACCATGCTCACTGAGCTCTATGGAATGTAAGTGTATTGTAACCGTGGACTGCTTTTGAAAGACACTACTCTACTCTTACAAATGCATATAATAAATGGACGCCATTTTACTATGTTTAACCTTGTGGACTATTAATGTTTGATGACATTATTAATATTGTTTTAATTAATATGTATATATTTACTTTAAAATTTGCTGAATCTCTTTAGCTGCTTTGTATTTCTTCATACATAGTAAATCTATGAATATTTTTGGTGAGCGCTGAGAAGCTTCTTATAATTTAGTTTACATGTAGAACCTAGGGGAGGTTTTGTTCTCATCTACAGCTGCTGCTTGTTCAGCTTTCAATCTTTTCTTATTAGCGATGGGAGTAATATTGGTATTATGTTTCTATACACAGCTGCATTCCTGTTCAGTAATTACAATAGATGACATGGCAGATATTCTATCTTCATGTCCCTCTCATATGGTTTTTATTCAACCATTGACATCACAGCAATCAACAATACATTTTCTTAAAGTTTATTTCAAGCCAAAACGTGTTTTCCTTATGGATAGATATGTCTGTGAAGGTTCTCATTCATCCAGGTCATGGTATATCTGTAAAAAAATAAGTCAAGGCAACTGGACTTGCTGTATTTTTCTTGAAGACGTTTCACTGGTCATCCAACCAGCTTTCTCAAATCAGAATGACTTGCATTAAAAAAATTGTACAAGTCATTCTGAATTGAGAAAGCTGGTTGGATGACCAGTGAAACGTCTTCAAGAAAAATACAGCAAGTCCAGTTGCCTTGACTTATTTTTTACAGATATACTTATGGATAGAGTATGACATGTTTAGAAATCCTATTCTGAGAAACCCTTTATTTAATTTTTTATTTTATTTTGCTGTCGGTGTCCCATTGGGGAGAGTTAACTTCACCTCATGCCATGGAGAAGCAACAGGAAGTAAGATGAAGTCTCTCTAAAGTAAGGGGAAATCCCCTTTTAGACAGTGGAAATGGACACAAAAGATTTCTCTTCTATTCCTGTTCAGATGATAACTGTAAAATTATGGGGGTTATTCTCTAAACGGTGAAGGGTTTGGAGAAGGCAGGAGAAGTGAACAATCTAGGACAACATAGCTGGTTTGGAAAAATTTCTCCCATTAATCTCACTTTTCAGTTCAATTATGTTGTCCTAGATTGTTCACTTCTCCTGCCTTCTCCAAACTCTTCCCCCTGTTGTGAATAACCCCCTATAAGTTTTGGATGACTTTCTGTTCCAGGAAAAATGGTCACAGCATAAATCCTCCTCACTGTTTTATTGAGAAAATGTAAACAAATTAATATCAATATTTCATATCTACATATCAAGTCACAAGCTTCTAAGCTTCTTTTCACAGGTTTACCTGTCTATTCATAGCTGCTCTGTTAAAAAAAACAAAAACAAAATCAGAGCCAGAGAGTCTGAAAGCAAACAGATTCTGTTTTGGGATAAGAAAAATCAGTAAAGTTGTGTATAGACAGGCAGGTACCTCCCAAACAGAGGCTATCTCCTTCATCATTAGAATAACTATTGGCGTATTGAAATTTGCCATGATTCACATTCCCTGGCAACCATACCATGTGAAGTAGTTTGAACCATATACAGTATGTATTGCTATGGATCTTCTGCTCTAGAGAAACAAGGTATTTGCTTAAATAAACATGCCAACAAGAAACAGTTTTCTTCCAAATGCTCTGCAGAAACCAACAATTTAAGGAATATGAAACGCCTAGTTGCCTACTGTGCTTAGTAGCTTCTCCTGCCGACCCCATCGTAACTAGAGGACACAGTCGTGACAAAGGGGTCAGCCACTGAGGGCATCAGAGGACACAGGAGATGAATACGTTCCAGAAGTATTGGTTTCTCCGGAGAGTTCAATGGAGGTCTTCTCTTCGTCAGAGCAGTGTTCAGGGGCACAGTATTTAGTTTCTTCTTTGCAGGTAACTCTTTTTATTTAAGCAACAAAGTCACTTTAACACTTTTCGGCACATATAACTAAACGAGAATGAGACAGTATAGCCATACAAGTTATGGCGAGAAGGAACTAAACCAATCAAAAAGACCTCCAACCGAATCAGTGCATAGCACAGTAAAGTCTTCTTAGAACACAAGGTATTCACATGTCTTATTCCTTCAAATACCTCAAAAATAAGACAGTTATTCCCTTAGGACAGTGGGCGGAACATGCAAATCAATACTTTACACCCTTGAACCA